TCTCAATGGAGATCACCATTCTTGCACTTACGGATGAATTTATCCCATGTGCAAGTTTGCAATGGGCTACACAAAAGAAATTGGGGACTACCTCTTGCAATGGAAGAAAAGCTCTTGCAATGGTTCAGGGCCTTCTTTCTTGGTGGGTCTTTCTCGGTTCAGCGCCGAGAGTAGCCGATAGTGGTCCTCTCCACGACGTGAGGAGCATAGCGCAAGACCCATGCCACTACAAAGGCTCCAAAAGAATGGCCAACGAAATGGGATCTTTCAAGGCCCCAAACCTGCACGTGGCAACATGGCAAACAGTTTGCGAAAAAGCTCCTAGTAGCGTCTTTGTTCCTAGTAGTAAGGCCAGGAGCCCCTAGTAGCGTCCTTGCTCCTAGTAGCGATGCCCTTTGCTACTAGTAGCGTCCTCTACCTGAATGTTTTGGCAAACAGTTTGGCTTACTTTTCTTTAGAGCCCGCTTCCCCCTTCCTATTTAGTTAAGTAGGGAAGAGGTAGCTAGTAGCTAACAAGTAGCTACTACTTAGGACACAGGAGAGCTCTCGCTTCTTCAAGGAAGCTCCCCGCGCCATCTTTATTCATTTGGTTCCTAGATTTTTAGGGAAACTTAACTATCGATTGCACTGCAAACGGCATCAAACGGCAATTAAACAAGTGAGATCATAGATCAAAATTCACAAGCACGCCTGCAGCATGTTCTCAATGTTCGCTGCAACCTCAGACTTGAGATCTAGTGAATTCCTTGCTGCTGCCTCAAATATCAGCTCTGCCTTTTCAACCAAATAGGCAGACTTTGTCGAACTGAAAGAGGCAGACTTGCCTCAGGCTCTAACCTCTCGGGCACCTGGGACATCGTCTGAAAATCTCATGGAGATTCCAGCAGTGTCCACAAGGAAGATTGGATGCTCCTGGTCCCGGAGTTCCAAACAGTGACACGCTGGTGAAATGCTTCGCAACCTCCAAAACGGTCCCTCTGACGCTGCACTACATCCACGGTTCGACTATCTGGAGGTTGAATTCCTTGCTTCAGGCAATATGCTTCATTGTCAATGTGTTGAGCACTCCTGTCCCAAAGATCTTGTCAATCGTTGCAGAAATGTGATGCACCTAAGCGCACCAGACAAAACTTCTGAAAACCTTCAATAGTGCCTCGCATGAAATATACCTTCATGAAAACAGTTATAATGTGATATGATGTTATATGTAATTGCTGCATATCAATGTCTCTCGTCAATGATGACATGTCTAGAACAACTCCCAAAGCAGTGTTGTGCAAAATGGCTATGTTAGCTTGCCCCGTTTACAAATGGTTTTCCTGTTTCTTGTGCAACTAGTGTAAAGAGTCATGATAAGGAATCACCAGGAATCGCCTTGCTGAAACTGGACTGAAGCTGAACGATCAAAGAGTCGCAAAGCGTGTTGCTCCCAAGGCTTCGACATGGTGGGCCCCACGCCAATACCATGGCAAAAAACCAAGGCTTTCCCCGACCTTAGCAGAGTAGCCGCTCCCGACGGAGAACGCTCCTAGTATGGATACGTGACGATACATGTAACAATAACTGAGCAGAATGTTAAGGTCACATTCTTGTTGTGGGGACGTGCGAACACACGAACTGCTATATAAATGATACAAAATAAGTGAGGGAAGAATTGCAGAATTGCACTGAATTGCATAGATCATTGCAGCCAAAACCAAATCTAGCACCGAGGCACGCTAAGATGCGAGGTCGCAAGCCGCTCGCCCAGTGCTTTTCAGGTTCTGGAGGTCGGAACCAATACCTGGGCAAAGCCACGCAACAAAGGAAAATGCATAGAGAGCATGGCATCCAAAGGTTTCCATTACATCCTTGTTTTAAAAACGACCGGCAAAACTAGTGGGCCCCTGCGTGAAGCTTCACAGGTATCAGTCATTTTGGGGATTGCTATCGTCTGTTCAAGCCATCTTGTTTGGGAAGGTACCGTCTACATGTAGAGTAAACAACCTGTATGCTTCATGAGTGCTAAGATTTGCAGTGGGCTTGCGAGTGGTGAGAGCGGATGCAAGCATTCAGAACTGCTACATAGTATGCCAAAAGGGTGGAGAGAAACACTGTCAATTGTCAATTGATTGCAAGTTCCCACAATTGCAAGTCGTAGCCATGCAAGGCTTCCCGAGGCATCCAAACATACAATGCGGGCATCGTTTGGTATCGACATGACGCCAAGATGTGTACAGTCACAAGGCTAGGTATGGTTTTTGGGATTGCTCTCGTTTTCTCAAGCAAATTGAATACTTCATAATACTTCTGAAAATGTGAGCCCTGACCTGACCTTTTCCACTTTGCTCTTTTCAACATCGACTTGCAGAACAAGCTACAAGTAGCATAACTACTGATAACCCATCATAACCCCAACGATTACTCTCATAAACACCAACAATGCCTTGCTCGTCTTGAGTAGCTGCCAAATCCCCCTGCGAGGCATGTTTCGTTCGGGCTTGGGTATGATAGAAATCAGACTTTGTCGCTGGGCCTGCCTATGTGTGGTCGTTCCTGCCTATGGGTCAAACCAAAATGCGAGGTTGACACGAGAGGTCTTGGAGCGGCATTGCATCTAATTGCATGAGCGAGCCACAAAAACACTCCACCCGTTCGGTGGAACGACACAAACCACTGGCTTTGCCCATGAGCCAAGCTGCTCGGTGCTGCCAGAGCGAAAGGGACGAAAACCCAAGAAGCTCAAGGCCTGGCAAAAGGAAGCAAGGGAAGCAAAAGCTGTTGAATTGTCTTCGTGACTGTTCAATTCATGATGGTCGGGGGTCTTGGGGCTAAACTTGAATCCATTGAAGTGTTGTGAGTTACCCCGGCAACATCAAAAACTCTTTGGTCTCTGGCATCAGAATGGTCTTTGTTGTGTTGGAGGACCCTTCAGTTTGGTGGTCTTCTCACTGCGACAAGCTCAAGTTGGAGTTGAGTCCGTATTTTGGGTCTTGTTTGTAGTAAGGCCATACGAAGTCTTGGAATTGAATGGAGTCAATCCCGATCCAGACCTGATGTCCAATGGCAGGCGCCAGAAAAGCGGTGTTGACATAGGCCAGCAGCGGCCGGTGAACAGCTGGAAATCTTGGCGAGAATGAGTGCATGTGACACAACACTGCCAATGACGACTGGCAACCCTGACAGCTAGGTGAGGTAAAGGTATGTTGTTGGCAATTCAGAAGGACTTTTTGTTACTGTTGACACAGAGCAGCTGGACAGGGTCGTGTGCATCGAGTCTCAGTAGCAACACACAAAATACAAGCCTAATCCTGACCAAGACCTGCCAAGGGACGGATCATTCCTCATGCGAAAGCACTTCAAGCCTGCCAAGGTCCAAAAACGCTTGCAACACTCATACTGTTACAAAATGCGGTTCGGATGGTTCTGTGGCCAAACTTCTTGGGGGCCGTACGGACATTCTAATCCATCCTCCTGTATGTTGGTCAGAAAAACTCAGCTTTGACTCTCATGGATTGCGAGAAAGGGGTCCTTGGAGACATCTTTTGATATTCCGTTAAAAAATAATGTTCATAAACAATTCCAGCCATTGTGCATCCTTTCTGAAAGTTTCGCCTTCATTCTTTCCGGCCCAATCTTTGAGCGCGTCCGGCAACGGCAGGTCAGCCCACGTGGCCACCGCATCAATTAGCTCCTCGAGAAAGGCATCTGAGGATGCAAGAAGCCTTCTATTCAGGGACGAATCTCCAAGCTTCTATTGACATTCTTGCCCAGTGATGTTCTCCATGGTCTGGATAGCTCAATATTGCAATGATACCGCTGATAGTTCCATCACTGGTTTGAATTTGCCGCAAAGGTGCTTCATTCAAGAGTGGCATGCTGTCCAGCCTTGAAGCCTAAAACCTGAAGCAAAAAGTCATGGAGCCCTTCCAAAGCTGGATACCCGCGCTGATGATTAAATAACATCAAGGTCCCTTCCTATCCCTTCCCCTATCCCTTCCGCATTCTCTCTCCTGAACCTCCACAGACTCGTGGTCCGTGAGCTCCGAAGTGGATTCGGCCCCGTCAAAGAAATAGGACAAGACCCATTGTTCGATGTTCCCTCCTGCGAGGACTCGGACGTTTGGACTCATTTGGACCATTTGGACTCATCTCGATTCGAAGCTTCATCCACACCTCTCATGGCACGAATCTGGATATATAAATCGGGATGAAGATAACACACTAGTGCTTGTTGGTTCCAACACGAGTGCCACCGTCTTGAATGGCACAGTCCTACACCTCAAAACAAACAAAATCATATTGATTCCGTAGCTCAAACCTGACACGACCACCACTTCTTGTCAGCTGCGGTACTAGTATGTCGAAAACCCAAGAAACTTCATTCATGTCGAAAAGGTTCAGTCGAGCTGCGGCGAACTTGTCGAACATCTCTGCAAATATCTCGTTTCCCTTCCGGGGTCAGTGTAGAAAACCTCAGCTCTCTTCCGTCCCTTCCAAACGTTAGCGGGAACCCAAAACTTGTTATACATGCAGCATGCATAAAATATTAATATTATATATATTATATTATTATAGATAATATGTGTTTACAACTTGCACCAGCTGATTCTAGTCGGCCTCCTGGAATCTCTTGTCTAAGCTCCCACCTACCGCTTCGCACAATCTACAGGTTGCAACAAAAGTATCCTTTCTGCTCAAGGCCATTCAACATGCTATATAAACGAACTGTGCTAGGAATCCAAACCATGCCGGACATCCTCACCAAAAAGCAATATCAAAAGCCCCAAAGTGCCCTGGTGTGGATAGCATAAGGATCGGTGTTACGGCAAAATAGTGCCCATCTGGTGGAATATTGGACACCCCAAATCCAAAAATAACGAGCAAACGAGCAATAAGTAGTGAAACACACTGGCGTGCTGCCCTTTGACTGCCCATGCAAAGAAGTGACCATGAGCACAACTCCAAATGCTTCAGGCAGTGCACATCCTCAGAGTAAAGGAGGTTCGGTGCTCAAGAAGAAAACCAGAGTGGCCTCTGGATGGCTCGTTGCAGCGACTGTCAAAAAAGGGCTGGGAAACGACAACGAAGAGGACATGAAACAAGGAGGCTATGGCTTCTAAGAAGGCCTATCACGTTTTCAGGGCCCAGCCACACTTTCAGCGCGGCTGGACATGTCCTAAAACGCATTGACCCCAATTCCTACCTCTCTCACCACTCTGGCAGAGACCTCGAAAGAGGTAGACTGTGCGCGCTTGTGCGACTTATTATACTTCTGCCAAATCACAACTTCAGCTGGTGTTCTTGGTGTTGTGTCTGCAACCTCGCGTGCTGTTCTCAACAGGCCGAGAGCATAATAAGCACTAAGCAATGAAGCTGTCTGACAACACTGTAAGTACAGTGTGCTCTTTCTTTCTGGCAAAGTGAAACAAGCAGTACAATGTACTCCTACATCCCCCAGAGTTCGGAACCGCAAAACGACGTCTCTACCAACAGTAGTGGGAAGAGATCAAAGCAGGCAAGTTTTCAGACTGACATAGACTTGTTCAACGAGATTTGAGCACTTAGACGAAGGAATAGAAACCATTGGTAACCACCAAACCCTTGCGGGCAAACTTAAGCATGACAGTGGGACAGTGAGTCTTCGTCCAGCTCCACCCAGCCCTCCCACAGCCTGGCACAGCCCACCCGCACCTCCCAAGATCGCAGCAGGTTTTCCACCGATGGAGCTGTGGAGGGCATAAAGCTCTGAGAGGCCCTTGCCACCTGCAAAGCGCCATGAACTTTGCCCGGATAGCGGGAAACAAAACAAGACAATGGGCTCCAGTTGAAGCCACTGTACAAGTGTGCACAAATATGTGTATCCTGAAGTGTTCTTGTTTCTAATAGCTTCTTGTTACTAGTAGTAAGGCCAGGAGCCCCTACTAGTAGCTTCTTGCTCCTAGTAGCGATGCCCTTTGCTCCTAGTAGCGTCCTGTTGGTTCTTCTAGAGTTCCTGAGACCCGAAGTTCCAGCCTCCGTGCCAAAGGGGTTGGGCTCGTCTGAAAGGCGCAAGAAGTTTTCGACCTTGGCAAAGCATTTGAGCTAAACCCATTCACCAAATAATGTTGAAGGACATTGATTGATCTGAACCATTGGGGAAAAAAGCGGAAGCTCCGCTCTTAAATGTTCTCAATAGACTCAGCTTGTGGTTTAGAGATGAAACACAATGCTTGACACTGGGCAGTTCACTGACGGGTTGGAGATCAGCTTTTGCCGGGCCTCCTCGAGTCATTTGCGACAAACACAATCATGGGAGCAACATGTGTGACTGATGCGGGCGACCCTTGAAGGTACATGTGGAGTGAAAGGCTAAAACACGTGTGTGAACCACAACAAAAACTTGTGCAAAAATACTCATGCATGGTATTTCCAATTACCAGTTCGTCCTGCCCAACTGCAGCTGGCTCTGATTGCCGCCTCAACTTGTAAATGCCTCCCACCTGGCTCACACATCGAAACATGTCATCTCATCTGTCTGTAAACAGAAGTGCCCGAATCAGCTATAACATCTCTCTGGAAATTGTGGTGGTTTTCATATCATGGTTCCTGTGACATCTGCAAAATTGAGACAGTCAGATTGTGACCATTAGTGACCTACTATACTGTGGAGGAGTTCAAACGTAACTTATGAAGTGATCAACAAGCTTGGAGAATAAAGCAATTCTGCTACAATGCTTGTACACAGGAACATCGACCGACACAAGCA